CCCGCTGAGCAGAGAGCCCGATGCGGGGCTCGATCCCAGGACCCTAGGATCATGACCCGAGCTGAAGGCAGAGGCTTTAACCCACTGAGCCACCCAGGCGCCCCATGCATTTATTTCTAAGTCACTGGAGAGTAATTTGCAGACATCATATCCCTTTCTCCATAAATATTTCAACATGTATTTCCTAAGAACAAAGACAGAAACACTCACTCACTATGGATACCTCCCAGAGTAGATAATTAAACCGCACTGTCAAGGAAAGAACAGAAATTATGTGATTCTTTCATTTCATTTAATATAAGAAATGCTATTTAATCAGGAAGGGCACCTTCAAAAGAAGTTTGGGTAACAAACTAGATTTACATACTCATTTCCTGCGCTCTTCCATGGAGAACAGCACGGACCAAATGATCCAGTATGACCTCACCAGAGCCTGAGGTGTCTCTGGACGAGCCCTAAGATGAAAAGGGCATTCAGGGCGCATTCCTAGACAGTGCGCTTTTTGAGCGGAATCAGCCTCACATCTCAAAGCTGTTTTGGAATTAGATTTGCCTTAAAACCTATTCTTGCTATAACGCATCTTAGATTATTTTCAAGCAAATAGTGTTAATGTGACAGTTTTAATGTGTTTAGAGTTTTGTTGCTCAAATCTTTGACAACTGGGACAGGTGGTAAGCAGTGAAAGGAGGCACACCCTCCATATACTGGTCTTTTTAATTTTTTTTTTAAAGATTTTATTTATTTATTTGACAGACAGAGATCACAAGCAGGCAGAGAGAGAGCGAGAAGGAAGCAGGCTCCCTGCCCAGCAGAGAACCTGATGCAGGACTTGATCCCAGGACCCTGAGATCATGACCTGAGCCAAAGGCAAAGGCTTAACCCACTGAGCCACCCAGGCACCCTGGTCTTTTTTTTTTTAAAGAAAAGATTGTATTTATTTGAGAAAAAGAGAGCGACAGCACGAGCCGGGTGAGAGGCAGAGGGGGAAGCAGGCTCTCCGCTGAGCAGAAAGCCCAATGTGGGGCTTGATCCTGGGTCCCTGGGATCATGACCTGAGCTGACAGCAAATGCCCAACTGACTGAGCCACCCAGGTGCCCCATATTTTGTTTTTTTTTTTTTTAACTTATCATAACATCTAGACTGACTACAGTTAACAATTCTGTGTTGTTTACTTGAATTTTGCTAGGGGAGGAACAGATCTTATGTGTTTTTACAAAAAAAAAAAAGAGGGGCGCCTGAGTGGCTCAGTGGGTTAAAGCCTCTGCCTTCCGCTCAGGTCATGATCCCAGGGTCCTGGGATCCAGCCCTGCATCGGGCTCTCTGCTCAGAGACCTTTTAAAAATAAAAAATTAAAAAAAAAAAAAAAGGAAGGGTAACCATGTGAGGTGACGGATACCATTGATTAGCTTGATATTTCCCTTGATTGTGGTGATTATTTCACAATATATACACATATCAAATTATCAAATTGTATACCTTAAATATATTGTACACCTTAAATATATACAATTTTTGTCAATTAGACCTCAATAAAGCTGGAAACAAATTCTGCAGGGTGAGAAAAGCAGAGAGCAGCTGTGCTGTAAAGCACTTTGAAATAAACATGGTGAGTAAATACAATCTGGGTTACAAACAATTCAGATCTCGGCTCCCAGACTGATAGTGTGCATTTGTTGACCCCCGCCTCGTGGCCTGCAATTAGAGGGAGGTATATACATTATTCACCAATTTCAAGGAACAGAGAGTGCTGCAGATCAGCAGCAGCAGTCACATGCAAACAATTCTGGCTCAAGTGACAATTATAAATCACCACATTAATTCCATGCCAAAAATGAAAATCAAACGTCTGCGGCAGGGGGGGAGGGCAGTGTACCACTGGTAAAGTCCCACAGACCCCGTGTACAGGAGGGTTTGATAACTGGTTTACCTAGCTGGGAAGAGGGGGAAAGGAGAATATATCCAAATGAATGTGAATCTTCTCTTTTCCATGCTACCTTTCCCTACCACCCCCCCTAGAGTTTATTGTCACGCAGATTAGCCACTGCTGCCTTTTTTTTTTTTTTTAAGATTTTATTTATTTGACAGAGATCACAAGTAGGCAGAGAGGCAGGCAGAGAGAGAGGGGGAAGCAGGCTCCCCACTGAGCAGAGCTCTTGATGCGGGGCCTGATCCCAGGACCCTGAGATCATGACCTGAGCCGAAGGCAGAGGCTGAACCCACTGAGCCACCCAGGCGCCCAACCACGGACTTCTTTCTTTGAAAGCTGATACTGCAGGGACACCGGGGTGGCTCAGTCCTCAAGTGTCTGCCTTCCACTAGGGTCTTGATCCCAGGGTCCTGGGATTGAGCCCCGAGCTGAGCAGGGAGCCTGCTGCTCTCCCTGCTCGTGCTCTCTCTCTGACAAATAAATTAGATCCTTAAAAAAAGAAAAAAGCTGACACTCTACATCAGACTTTTTTTTTTTTTTTAAGGTTTTACTTATTTATTTGGGAGAGAGAGAGCATGAGTGGGGGCAGAGGGCAGGCAGAAGCACAGGGAGGCAGGAAGGGAACCTGACGTGGGGATCCACCCTGGATGGCAGGATCATGACCTGAGCTGAAGGCAGACTCTTAACTGATTGAGCCACCAAGACACCCCAGCATCAAACTCCTTCTTCAGCAAACAGAAATGAATGAAGATGGCACCCAGAGGGGTGCCTGGCTGGTTCAGTCAGTACAGCATACAACTCTTAATCTCAGGGTCTTGAGTTCAAGCCCCACCCTGGGTGTGGAGCCTACTTAAAAACAGAAAAATGAAAAATAATTTTGAAAAAGATGGCACCCAGAAAGGAAAGCATATTCATGGTGGTTCTAGGAACTGTACCTCTAGAAGTTACCATTTGCAAGCGTCATTGGACAATATGTGGTTTTAAGATGCAGACTGAACCACAAGTCAAGCTTCAGGAGTGTGATTTTTTGGTTACTATGGTAACTTATGGGCAATAAATCAGTTTCTTTGCAATTATCACAGAATAAGCAAATAAAAGAGAAGGAAAAGAGACGTGGATTAAAACAGAGCCTTTGGGGGACCTGGCTGGCTCAGTAGGTGGAGCCCGAGATTCTTGATCTCAGGGTTTTGAGTTCAAGCCCTACGCTGGATGTAGTGATTACCTAAAAATAAAATCTTAAAAAGAAAAAAAAGGGGGGCACCTGGGTGTCTCAGTCCGTTAAGCGCTGGCCTTCTGCTCAGGTCATGATCCCAAAGTGCCGGGAGATCAAGATCTGCATCGGGCCCTTTGCTCAGTGGGGAGCCTGCTTCTCCGTCTGCTTCCACCTGCTGCTCTGCCTACTTGTGCTGTCAAATAAATAAATCTTAAAAAAGGGGGGGGGCACATATATAGAGGGAAAGAATGGTAATGCAAATGTGGCAACTCTTGGTAGGTGAACCAATACCCAGAAGCTGGCTACCTTCATATTTCTTATACATGAGAAAAGTAATTCCCCCAATCAGTTAGCTAGTTTGCATTTTGCAGCTGCAAGTGTTCCTACTGGATTAAGCAGCCAACTCCAATTCACTTTCTACAAGTACACAATCATGCTATAAAACTGACACTCTGAGAGAAACTGACTTACAGTTCTAGTAACTTACAAAAGGCACTTAACTACATAGTGCTAAAGTGCAAACATCAAAATGAGATTTGTGATGAGTGCTTTTTAAAACCCGAAGTGCTATAAATATAGGAGTAGTTTTTAAAGCTGTGTTTATGCATTCTTTTCCACTTGAATGCTGTGTTTAAGATGCTGGCCAGAAAAGTTAGCTCTGTAGAAACACTACTTTGATTCACACAGAACTCTACGTTGTTTGCTTATAAGGAAATCCCTCTGAATCCGTATTTAAGTCTTTCTCTGTGCAACTACATAGGAGGTAGCAACTTCTTGTTACATTGTCTCATTCAGAAGCTTAGAAAGGCCAGTACCTATTTCTGGCTCCTTTTAGTTAGGAGATACAGTCATAATAAAATACATTGCTTAATGCGCCGGGCATTTTGCAAAGTGGCTTACATATCTTGTGCAACTCTCACAAAAATTCAGTGCGTTTTATGCAATTATTATTTCATCATACATAAAATGAGGAAAATACAGGGCTGTTGTAAGGATTAAAAGAGACTATACATGAAGCACTTAGCACAGCAGCTGACAAAAAGTGCTAAATATACATTTACCATTTACTGGTAAACAGAGAAAAGCAGTTTTCTGCCTTTTTCTACCTATTTTTTCTTTTTTAAAAAATCACCTCCCCGTTCAGGAGGGGGAAACAGGAAATCCCCTTGACAGTGGCTGAGCTCAAAAGCCAGGAGACCCCTGTTTTGATCTGGATCTCGACTGTCCTCACCCCCTACCTACCAACGCCTGGCTAGGCGAGCTGCCAGTAAGTACTTGCTGAATTAACGAAGACCAGGTTTCTCGCCTGGGGCAGCTAGACGCTTCTGGGTGGGGTAGAACGTTCAGGTCTGCGCTTGCGCCCCATCTGCAGACCCGGAAGAGGCTGTTCAGACCTGTTCGGGCCAACGACCTTGTCGTCCCTTGCCGAAAGCACGTTACCGAGGGTCGTCGCCCCCGAACCACAGCGACTTCAAGGGTCCCAAACTACACTCACCACACTCTGCAATGGAGAATGCCCACCCCGGTTCCGGCCCCCGCCACATTTCGGCCGCCCCCACCTCCTTCCGGGAAGGCGTAGGCACCTGGCGAAGGCCGCCGCGTGCCTCACTTCCCCGCGAACTACATCTCCCAAAATCCCCATCGGCCGGACCCCGCCCCCGCTGCTGGTGGGCGTGGGGGCGGGGCGGAGCCTTCCGAGCCGTCCTGCCTGTGTCCCCCAGGGTAGAGTTCATTTTAGGAGAGATTCCTGGGTTCCCTGTTAAAGTAGGACCTCTGTCCCGATTAGGTCCGACTCTGTCCTCCATACCCACTGTGGTCCCCTCACGGTAAGACGACAGATGGTCTAGTCCAGCGGAGACACTCCCCCTACGCCGGGAGACCAGTGGAGAGCGAAGGGTAGACCGCGCACGCATGCGCAGAGGCGCAGCTTGGGGGCGGGAGCCTCTAAGCCCCTTCCCCAAGGCTGTGAAGGTGAGTAGGGGGCGGAGCGGGGCGTGTCCCTCGGGACTGACCACTGCCTGGCCCTGGCCACCGGGGGTTCAGCCTCCACCATCCAAACTATAAAGCTGTTGACCCCAACTGTCCAGAAACTTGGGGTCCCCAGGAGCGCGGTTCTAGCGTTTGTAGCGTTTGTACGTCAAAATCCCACTTCTGATTAAACCACTTCTGGCATTTAATTGCCATTATCTAGTTGTAAGTTGTTCTCTTCTGCTAGACCATGAGTTTTAAGAAATAACAGCTAACGTGTCCGGAGGGCCCAGATTTCATCTCGGTTTTTCTAGCATGTAGCAAACATCTCCTTGGTAAAGTAGGGAGCTTTGGGACAGTTGATTTCTATTCAATTTAGTGTCAGACTATGTGCATACTTGCTCCTGTTCTCTGTTTCATGTGTGTAAGTTTCATGAGAAGACCCCTCGAGATGATGAAGACAGTTTTACACTAAAGATGCAGTGGCCGTGATGAAGTTGATAATCTGCTGGGGATACAGAGAATTAAGAAAGACCTTATTGTGCCCTAACCCTAACCATTTTCCTTACACTTAGCTCTGTGACTGGGTTATGTTGCTTTATCTTGGGGGCCGACATTTTCTCTTAAAATGGGAAGACTGGATGAGATCTCTAAGAACCTGCCAGCTCTGAAATTCTGTGGTTGGTTAGTGAGGAGTAGAATCCAGATTATATCACAATATGTTAATACTAAGCATCATTGGGACGCCTGGGTGGCTCAGTGGGTTAAAGCCTCTGCTTTCGGCTGGGGTCATGATCCCAGGGTCCTGGAATCGAGCCCCTCATCGGGCTCTCTGCTCGGCAGGGAGCCTGCTTCCCTCTCTCTCTCTCTCTGCCTGCCTCTCTGCCTATTTGTGATCTCTGTCTGTCAAATAAATAAATAAAATCTTTAAAAAAAATACTAAGCATCATCAACTTCAGTTTCTCTGCTAACATATGTGAAATATAGCTATAAACATCTGGTAGCAGCATTAGAAAAATACTGCCCCTTACTGTACCTGTAATTTCCTTATTGCTGAAAATATGAGATTTGCTGATAATACAACTTCCTTCACTCTTTATTTGTTGTCCGTTTGTAGACCATCACTAGGAAGATTATGAACATGATGTATGTGACAATGGCTCAAATCTTAAGGTCTCATCTGATAAATGTTCCAATGATATCTAATAGAAAGAAAATGCTCCCATATCTTGGGGTCATTAGACACAGAGCGGTGTCAACTCATATATCCAAAAAGAAGATGCGAGAATATTATAGGCTGCTAAATCTGGATGAAGGTTGCTCTGCGGATGATGTCAGGGAATCTTTTCATAAGCTTGCCAAGCAATACCATCCGGACAGTGGCTCTGATACTGCAGATTCGGCAACATTTGTAAGGATCGAAGAAGCTTATCGGAAGGTGCTTTCCCATGTGCTAGAACAAACAAATGCCCGACAGAATAAAGTTGAAGAAGCAGAGGAAGAAGAAGACAAATTCAAATACAAAACACCCCAACACCGGCATTATTTAAGTTTTGAAGGTATTGGTTTTGGAACTCCAAGTCAACGAGAGAAGCAGTATAGGCAGTTTCGAGCTGACCGTGCAACTGAGCAAGTCATGGAGTATCAGAAGCAGAAGCTACAAAGCCAGTATTTCGTTGACAGTTTAATCGTTAAAGATGTGAGACAGAGTAAAGAACAAAAGATAACTCAGGCTATAGAGCGTTTAGTAGAAGATCTCATTCAGGAGTCAATGGCCAAAGGAGACTTTGACAACCTCAGTGGGAAGGGAAAACCTCTAAAAAAATTTTCTGGCTGTTCATATATTGATCCCATGACTCACAACCTGAACAGAATACTGATAGATAATGGATATCAACCAGAATGGATCCTAATGCAAAAGGAAATAAAGGATACCATTGATCAACTCAGAGAGGCGATCTTAGCATCCAGGAAAAAACTTGGGAATCCCATGACACCAACTGAACAGAAACAGTGGACCCAAGTCTGTGAGCAGTTTCAAGAAAACATCAGAAAACTAAACAAGCGAATTAATGATTTTAATTTGATTGTTCCCCTCCTGACCTGGCAAAAAGTCCATTTTGATGCACAGAAAGAAATTGCCAGAGCCCAGGAAGTATATGAGACCCTTGTAAGAGCAGAAGAAGTCACAGATAAAAACCCAAACAACACTGATCGGGGAGAAAGGGAGAAAACACCTGAAGTCAAGACAGGTTTTTTTAACTGGATGAATGTGTGGAAATTTATTAAAACATGACCACTTAAATATTCACAGTACTGCCTCAAACCATTTTCGGTTGTACTGATGTCACACTTAGAAGCTGAGATTTATTGTGGTAACACAAATGATGAGAACTGTGAATCTCTGTACTTTTTCAAAACTAATCACATCTCCAGGGATGCGTGAGGGAGAAAGCTGTAAGAAACCGAGCCTGAGACATGTTCGACCAGCTTTGCTCTGAGGACGTTGCAAGAAAAGAAGGGAACTTCTAGGAAAACAAACCCATTCTGGAGTATAGATGTCAGTCATGGGTGAAATGAATTAGGACAAGGACTCAGAAGGGGAGTCATATAAAGGGCATTCCAGAAAGTCTTGGTGCAGTTTTCAGCTCTAATAACTCAAAAGACAGTTGGCTGTTGCCATCTTCAAACATAGTTACTGAAGCAAACAACAATAAGCAAACCTTAAAAAGTATTATCAGAAGTCACAAAACTAAGGAATGGACTGTAGGCAAGCAAACTTTCAAATGATGAATGTTTTTTGCAAGCTTGCTACATACATACCCCTGAGTTATTAAAGCTTAGAATTGTTCTAAGACTTTCGGGACTTTCTTTATGTGGGTGGAAATGTTATGATCAGGAAATTAGCCCAATGGAGTTATTGCACTCTTCTTTTTTTATAAACCGTCTTTGTGGATACCGAATAAAACAAAACAAAACAAAACAAAAAAACCACGAAATACCCGAGTTGTACTTTTTCCTGCCTAACTTCATTATGTTAGCTGTACAAATCCATCAGCCAAGCTCATTGATATAGCTGTTCTAGAAGTACATTCTAGTGGCTACTTTTAAAGAGTTTGGGTATATTTTCTGCATCTTTGGAGGTAAAAGAAAAAAAAAAACTTCTTGGGCTCAGTGGAAACTTGGGGTTTCACTTCTGGCTTCATCTCTAAGTCTACCTGAAGCCTCTCTGTGTCATGTTTCAGATTCCCCAGGGGCTTTTTCCGTATGAAAATCTCAGTGTAGGGATCCGATTTCTGGTCTAAGGAACTCTTTCATGAATGAAAAGGTGTCTGAATTTTGCTCCAGTTTGCACTTTCGGCAAATGACTAGAGATTGACATTCGTGAGATTGTTGTGTTTCATCCACTTTAAAAAAAATCTGACTTTTTTAGGTTTGTGTAATTGCGTTAGCCACAGAGTTGGGCTGCTAGAAGAACACAGAGTGTTCAAAAGGAGCAGATCTGTTTCCTTATTGAACTCCAAGTGAGGGCTTATGGATGTGGTTCAAAAGGGGGTACTTGCCACTCTTATTTTGAAAGAACAAATTATTTTGTAAAGTGCGTGATGGTTCAGTAAAACTGCATCTTCCGAGGAAATGTCAGGGCTTTCTGCTTAGGTGATGGGGTAATTAATTGGTATTATATGTGATTATTTTACTGAATGAGTTATGTGCCTTCTCCAATGATGTTATTACTCTAAACAGAATTGTGACCAGTAGGAAATGTAGCTACATAATAAGAACTATAGTTATAAAACATTTTAAAAGACTAGGATTCTGTGAATCTTGTTAAGAATGGGAATTAGATACATGACGCCAAGTTGCATTGCAACAACATAATTCAAAGGAAACCATTTTGGGGCGACTGAGTGGTTCAGTCAGTTGGGCATCTGCTTTTGGCACAGGTCATGATCCCAAGTTCCTGGGATCGGGCCCTGCGTCAGGCTCTCTGCTTGGCAGGGAGCCCGCTTCTCCCTCTCCCTCTGCCTGCCGCTCCCCCTGCTTGTGCTCTTTTTCCCCCAGTAAAATAAATAAATAAGTCTATTAAAAAAAAAAAAACAAAAACAAAGGAAACCATTTTCGATATTGGATGACAGAAAGGTAAAGTTATCAGAAAGCACTAGTAAATCCTGAATTTCAGCACACCACGCCTTATGTTTGTAAATGTTGTCTGTATTAATAAGGTTAATAAAGTTCATTTTAATGATTATCCAATGGTCTCTTGTTATATAAACAACCACTAAGAAGAATAACCGTATTTTTGACTGATCACCTGAATAAATGCTTTTTATCTTTTTGATTGATGATATAAAAGCTGTAAACAGAGATTTTTCTTGTGAAGAAGGCAAAATCACTCACGGAAAAAACAGATTCACTAATTTAAGGAACTAAGTTCCAGGCCAGAGCAAAGATTTTGGCCGGTTGGTCAGCGTTTCTTGAATTGTGATCCGATACTTCTCTTTCCTCTGAGGCAGACTTGACCTTTTTCTGTCACTGTTTCACCTTCTAACTTGGCCACTTTTTCAGGTGTAGTGGTAATGTCTGAACTCCTGAACAGGCTTGCATCAAACACTGCCTAACTCCTAACCTCAAATTTCAGGGCCCCTTTCTTCAGACTCTAGGACCAGGACCCTGGCCCAACACCCTGAACATACAGCCTCAAATCCCAGTGACTTTTGGCTCCCAGCAGAGAAATGGTTTATGCCCTTGTTCTGTGTACCTGACGCTGGTTTGGTACCTGAGGGGTCTTAATTTTCTAGAACAGTTGCCGTACTATTCCTTTTCTTCATGGAGCCACCTGGATAGAGCTCTGCACTTGGTGTTGGAGCGCCTCCCAGAGATGGGAGTCTTCTGTGACCGCAGCTGTACAATCAGGGCCTGCTGCTTCCTGATGTTCTTCCCTGCCATCACTGGGACCCAGTGACCATTTGGGACCTTCTCGGTACCTCTCAGGCACCCCTCATGCTGGTTTGCTGTTCCTAGAAGGGTTGCCTTTCCTCTTCAATGATGTTCTGTTCATTCAGCATATATTTGTCGAAGTCCTGAAAGGGAAGCCACCATCCCACCATCTTGGGTGGTCAGAAATCACTAACTGAGGGGGGACATATGGACCCCTCAGCCCCAAAAGTAACCCCCAGTTACTCATTTTCCTCGCTCTTACTGCTGCCACCACCACCCTGGTTCCAGGCAGGGGACACTGACCTCCCTTTCCTCCCCTGGCCCACAGGCAGACCCACAAATGTGGCATAATACTTCTTGCCCAGCTGAGACCAGAGTGCACCATCAAACTACAGCTTCCTTCAAGGCTTGGGATGATATAGGCAAGAGGAAAGCAGTCCTGGGGACAGAAGAGCCTGGCCTGTGGCCCTCTCCAGTTCATCGCTGAGCCCAGTCCCCAGCCTGCTGTAGGGGCAGAACCCACCATTCTCCCACCTCTGAGAGAATCCTCGGGTGCCCTCAGCATGCCTCCACTCCCCCAAGTCTAGATTTAGGAAACTAAGAACTAAGAAGTTTTCTTTCCTGCCGAGACCAGTTTCAGAGGTCTGGCTTCTTCTTTGAGGACCCACGTCTTCCCTAGATGACTATTGTATGTCACTGTCCCCCAGCCCCACTACCTCTGGTCCTACCTGAGAATCTCAACAGGACAGATTTATCGAATAAGTTTAACATTGTTATAAGAGAGACCTACTCCAAATAAATAAAATCTTTTAAGCAAAAGGGGGCGCCTGGATGGTTCAGGTCATGATCTCTGGGTCCTGGGATCCAACCCGTGTTGGGTTCTGGGCTCAGAGGGGAGTCTGCTTGTCCCTCTCCTTCTGCTGCTCATGCTGTCTTTCTCTCTCTCAAATAAATAAATAAAACCTAAAAAAAAAAAAAAAAGAGAGAGAGACGTACTCAACAGTTGTGGCATGGGTCCTTCCTGGTGTACTTTGAGAACCTTCTAGCAAGGAGTGTATGTTCCAGTGTTGACTCAGCTTTATAATTTACAGCTGGACCTCTCTTTCACCTCTGTGGGTGAACCTGGGTCCATAGCCTTGTCCCTTCCACCTAGCTACAGTTTACACCATGATCTGCCCAGCTGAGCCCCAAAGCTTCTCAGTGAGATTTGCTTAAAGATGAACTTGACAGCTGCTCTACTTTTGGCTGCCTCTCGTCTTCCGAGGGACCGGTAGGTGGTAGGTGTCATCCGTCTCGCGGGGATGTGGTTCCTAGCACAGGAAGCCAGACCTTCGAAGCTGCTCTTGACAGGAAAGAAGAGCCCTCATTTTCTTAAACATGCCCCAAAATGGACCCGTGACCCAGGCTCTGCCAAGACCTGTCCTTGGGGGACAGGGATCAGAATGAAGCATGGGAAGAACGAGGCTGGGTCTCTGGAGAAGCCCCACTCAGCTGGGGCAGGAAGGCGGTGGCTCCCAGGTGCATAAAGTGGCCTTAATGTCACCTGCCCAGCTGGCCAAGTTCCCGGCTTACCAGCAGCTTCGGCCTTCTCCTCCCTGGGCCAGTTCTTCAGTGTCGTTTTAGGCACTGCTCCTAACAACCTTGAGCCACCTTCTTCGGCCCTCCTGCAAGGGCCCGTGTCCTTTAATAAATCCCTTTTCCGCTTAATCCTGCCGGGAGGGGAGGGGCTGCCATTTGCAGCTAAGCACTGTGACATCCAGATGGGATCCTGAGAATCTCGTGGCTTTGGGACACCTGGCAACAATACACCGGGTTGTGGAGTGGGGGAGTGGGGGACTGGTGGAGGGGCGGACTCTCACTAAACTCTCAGCTCTGCCACTTGGTAGGTGTGTGATCTGGGAAAAATACCAAACCTCACTGACTTACGGATTACTCAGGGGTAAACGCTCAAAATGGAGATTTAGTGTGAGGATTCATTGAGATATTCTAGAATGTGAAGAATCCAGCTGGTGACTGCCACAGGGTGGGCACTGTACTCTAAGAATTAAATGACGCACGTTGTTGTGCTAATAAAATAATAAAGAGAAGTTTTTAAATTATTTTTATGGTTTGTTTAAAAATTGTCCCATAGGGGCACCTGGGTGGCTCAGTGGGTTGAACGTCTAACTCTTGATTTCGGCTCAGGTCATGATCTCATGGGTTATGGGATCGAGTCCTGTGACAGGGCTCTAAGCTCAGGATGGAGTCTGCTTGAGAATTTCTCTCTCCCTCTCCTTCTGCCCCTACCCCTGTGTTCTTCCTCCTCTCCTCTCTCAAATAAATTAATAAAATCTCTTAAAAAGTGTTCCATAGCTCTTCTCGAGGGAATATTGATTTCAAAGCTGATCTTCTAGTTCCAGTCAATTTCCTGAACTCACTGAAATTGTTCTCTGACACGCCTTCAGCTAGCAGGAGGCATTAAATGAAAGTGTAGAAGCCAGTCAAGAAAGACCACATATTGTACTTTTCTATTTATATGAAAGGTCCAGGATAGGCAAATCTCTAGAGACAGAAAGTAGAGCAGTGGTTGGCTAGGGCTGTGGTGTTTGAGAGGAAATGGGGAGTGACTGCTAATGTTTATGGGTTTCTTTTGGATGTGATGAAAATGTTCTAAAATTGATGGTGGTGGGGCGCCTGGGTGGCTCAGTGGGTTGGGCCTCTGCCCTCGCCTCAGGTCGTGATCCCAGGGTCCTGGGATCGAGCCCCACATCGGGCTTTCTGCTCGGCCGGGAGCCTGCTTCCCCCTCTCTCTCTGCCTGCCTCTCTGCCTACTTGTGATCTCTCTGTCAAATAAATACAAAAAACAAAAATGAAATCTTTAAACTTGAGGTGGTAATGGTGGCACAACTCTGAATGTACTAAGAACCCCCAGACTGTGCATTTTATTTTATTTTATTTTTTTAAAGATTTAATTTATTTATTTGACAGAGAGAAATTACAAGTAGGCAGAGAGGCAGGCAGAGAGAGAGAGGAGGAAGCAGGCTCCCTGCCAAACAGAGAGCCCG